CTAAATTCTTGCTGTTAGACGTGAATGCTATTTAGTAATGACGTCATGGAGTGTAAGGTCTGTTAGCATCCTGCGACCAAACATTTTATTTTACGGCGACTGCTTGTGCAAGTGCGAGCGGCCTTGCAAACATGGGCGGAGAGAATTTTCGTTCGTTACTTAGCCGTGAATCATTGCCATCCTACCTCTCTAGTTGCTTCCGTCGTGGTGCAAACCCCAATTTCCCTTTTGGGATGCAAGGTCTCGTATCTGAATTGTTTCAAAGAGCTATCATTTCCTCTCGCGTCTACTTCGAAAAATCCCAATGTTTTAACAGATGGCACTTTTATCGGAAGTTTCCAGAAAATTTGTCGTGTATATATGGTTTGCTCAAACGTGTTAGCTACGGATACATTCATCTGAATGGCACATATCAAAAAGAAATTCACATTTGATGATCCGGAAGACAGCTACTGGAATGAAAGTGGATCTAATTCATCATCACTATTTGATGATCTTCCATCAAAACAGGTGAGCTCTTAGATTTATTTAATTTCATGTTTTATCTCAGATGTCGCTCTTGATTTCATAAGTTCTCTTTTCTCACATTTATCTCTTTGTAGCCGATTGACTCATTTACAGTGGGCCGCTCGTGCAGCAGTGGATAACCTGTTTGAACAACGTGAAATCCTCTCTGCAAGAGTACCTCAGCAATTATCCACTGTACCCAAACCAATAACTAATTCTGTAGGGTTAGTTGCGTTGCATTGGTATAATATAATCGATTATTTTTTGGTTCTTCCTACTTTACTTGCGACGGCAGTCGCTATTTAAACGTTGTTTTATCAGATTTTCATTGCATGTTTCCATCTTCTTCACTGATACCTGGTATTTTCAGGGATAATAATGTTCAGTCGACAGAAGCAGTTGATGAATTTATCATTCATAAGAAGGCTGACTTCAAAGTTGAAGTTCGTATTTTAGTTACACTTTTTGCTTAGGGTATTTTCAAATATTTGTGAGACTGATCACAGGGAATTCCTTGCCACATTGAACATTTGCTCGGAATCATTCCATAAAATAGTAATAGCCATGATCCTGATAGAGGTGAAATAACGAAACCAGTGTGATTCACTTTAGAGTTGGTTGTAGGCAGTGAATGTTTCCGGGTGATTTCGATGAACTGAAACCGTTCAGATTTATGGCAGGATTTCATTCCGATAGGCTTTACATTTTTTTAAAATTTACTCCTTGCATTTAGAGTGATCAGTAGCAAGTTTGTCGAAAAAGAAGATTGTTTCAGGTAGAAACGTCGCCACTGCATGCTGGAGGTCCATCAGCCGCTTCTGTTATATCAGAATGTAGTGTGAGCAGTTTGCCAAGTGATGCGCATCGTCTCGATCTCGACTACTCTCGTCTCAAAGCAGAACATCGTAAACTGCAACGCCATCTAGAGGTTACTCTTTTGTTGTCTCCTTATAGCAAAAATCCAATCTTTTCAACTTGTTCCGCACAATGTTTTCACGTGCCTGTCAAAAACATTCGACGGCTGCGTCCAGAATTTGTGCAAAATCAAGAAAATCACATTCAAGGGCCGTGTCACAGAAATGTTCGGTGCCTGCGGTAGTTTTCAGTGATACATAAATTTCATAAAAATGTGTGTAGTTTCGCAGTTCGCAATCAGTTTCTGAATCCCATTCTGTTGTATCAGGCAGTTCGTCATGATCGCTACCGTGCGCCAGACGTGAAAGAGGCTGTTCGTCGTTTGCTCAAGGGTGACCCAGTATCTTTAGAATGGTATCGATCGAAAGAAGAAAAAGTTCAGTTGCTAGAAGCCGCCATAGATATCGTTGACGGCAATGTTATATTAGCTGTAAGTTTTTGAACTGATTGTTTTCACTTTCTTCAGTTGGAATATTACTTTAAGGTTGTATTATTTCTGAAAAGCACGTTGATGGATTCACTATTTCGAGACTTATTGTTGAGAAAACCGCAAGCTGCAGACGAGTACATAGCTTACCTAAAAACTACTAGAGATTATGACGAGTTAACGACCACATTGTTGTAAGTCATTTCAAAATACCAGGGTCTTCAGTAGGTTCTGACATCGATTTTTTTGCGTTTAGCGCCCTTGGGAGGAACGCCGATGCAGCTATGGTTGAGTTCTCTGCAGCAATTCGGAATCAGGTTTCCGAACAAAAGGTTTGTTTTGTCGAAGTTTTCAGAAAGCTCTCTAGAGGAGATAAGTTTAAAGGCTTCAGGTACAAGCCTTGAAGAAGTGCGTACGAAGTGGCTTCAGTGATCCTCTGTTGGCAGCGGATGCAAACGTTGTTAGTGATTATATCAGCCTGTTAGAGCGGCAGATGCCAATTAATGTGAGTTTTACATTCGTCCCAAGTGTGCTGGTTTTGTCTTTTTTCTACGAAACCATCCACGTGGCTCGACCGTCGTGCGTAATTATTGTCGT